TATATATATATATATATATATATATATATATATATATATATATATTGCTTATATCAATTGTCAATTAAATACCTTAATTAATTATATTGACTATGTTCAATCAAATAATCTTTAATTACTTTCGTTTTAATTATTAATTCAACAGTTTTTAATTGAATTCCTTTAAATCAATCATTAATTAAATAATTTTTAATTAGATTTCTTTAAGTCAGTGGTTAATTAAAATATTTTTAATTAAATAGGCTTATATTAATCGTCAATTAATTACATTATAAATTATTTACTCAAATCTATTATTAAATTGAGGCGAATTTAATTGATATTTTTACAACTATGGTATGTATACATGCACGCAAAAGGGTTGAGAGACAATTTCGAAGAAGCAAAAGAAAACTGACGAAATTCCCGGCATACTTCCGTTATGAACTCTTACAGCCGCCGCATAAAGCTAATGAATTTTCTCCATCGAATAGTCAAAGGCGCTGTTGCCCATAAACTGTTCTTTAAAATTATCCACATTCCCGCCGACAAAGATGTACTAACCGGCTAATATAAATTACCTCGAGAAAGCGCAAAAACAGCTAATAATGTTTACCGACCGAAATTAATGAGACGATTGTATTATTCTGCAATTTGTCGGACATTTTTGTGCCGCGCGACATCGCAAATATAAATTACAAGTGAATATTAATTCCGTTACCACTATCATTACTTCTCTTTATCGCGAGTAGAGCTCTGCAACATAATTATCCATATTCAATGCGAAAATTCGGGAATTATGGAAGCTCGAGAATTAAAAATCCAATAACGTTCCAATAAAGATATTCGATAACGCACGACGACCTATATACTCGGGCTTTGTGTGTTCTCGAGAAGTATGAGAACATTTCTGTCGCAGAAATAAATTTCAGGGGCAGGGCACAAAATCGCGATTCCAGTGACGATCGATTATCTCAGAGAGTGACTTTCGTTTCCGCCGGCCACGATCTGACACGTGTGATCTCGCGGCGGGTCCACCTCGCAATTAACGAACTTATAATTAGCACACGACGCTGACAACTTTCCTCGGCTCGGATTACGGTCCTTCCTGTCGGCGACAAACGCGTGTTAGCTGTTACTTTGTCGCCAGTGTCAGATAATAATTGTTATGTGCTTTCTCTCTCTCTCTCTATCTCTTTCTCTGTCGCGCGCGCGCAGACGTTTATGTACAATCGTGCCCGGCACGGCCGCAAGCTTCCGCTTCCTACTGCGGCGTTAACGACAAGCGAATAAGTCGATAAACGATATTTTCGCTTGTCAAGCGCTTGTCGTACGCTTATTTAAATATAAACGCGCCGATCGGAAAGCGATGCAACCCATATTTATCGAGCGATCGACGATTTGCGAACGAGCCGGTGCGCTGTGTTATAAAATGAAATGAAATATCAACGTAAGAATTATTACCGCTTGAAATCGCGCCGGGCTAATAAAATAATTAATCATTATAATGGTTCGCCTACGGGCAAACAAATGGAAAATTGAATCACAATTTCGTTTTAACTTGACTCGTTTTAAAGAGGATGTGTGCGAATCAAAGCTTCGGATAGAGAACGACGCGACCGAAATTGCTCGCCGATCACGAGAAGCTAACATGAGAGAAGCTAAACGGATGGACCTGCGTACACATCGCTGTAACATTCACCAGAGCAAAGTAACAGAATGTGGATGGCTCGCCGCTGTAAACAAAGTGCATCGAGCCATACGGGCTCGTATAATGGCAGAGAGTCATTTCAGGGGCAGTTAAGCCCCAACGACTTATTCCTTCTTTCCCATCTTCAAAAGAACCGCTATGCAGCGACAGGTGAGTGTAAATAAATCAGGTGATGGAAGACATTTTCAGGGAAATATCAAAGATCGAAAGTTCCTCAAAAAGACTCGAAAATCCCCCAAACGCTCGCTCGCGTCTTACTTTTCTCTCTTTTTAGCGGTATCCTAATGCGGAGAGCTACTAATCCTGTAGAAGTACTTCTGTTTCTTATTTGCAAAAGAGGACTGTCGCGACATTTGACGAGCACACATGAGATATACCATCAATAATATTAAATTGGATAATTTTTCAGAGCAGGTATTTACTTCTTAAAAATAGAACAACACTTCATCATCTTGGAAGTTTAATGTGAAAACCGTTTAATCGTATATTTCTCTATAAGAGCCAGAGAAGAATTCCAGAAAATCTACACGGAAAGAATTTTAAAAATTACTATATACTTAATAACCGAGGAACAAGTCGACATTTTTCAATAATTCGCTACTCCTTTATTTGCTACTTAAATTTTAGACACTGAAATATACTAATAAAAAATTGCTATATTTCTAACAAATATTTCTAACAAAATCTTCTGTGTTTCTAGCGAAATTTACCATCTTCCTCAGCAAGATAAATTCTACGTTTTCTCTATGTTTTTAGTAGCTCTATTCCATCGACGAGAATTTATACGAAAAAAGAAAAGCTATAACATTCTCTACGTGTAAGAATGTATGTTTCTCAAGTTGTAAGAGGATACCGGCTTAAATGTTCGCCAAGAAAATGTGGGATTACGCGAAAAAAAATATGAAACTCGCGGGATATAAAATTCTACTACCGGTGTACACGTGTATTTTCCCCTCGGATATCCGATATTTTGTTGCTACGATTACGACTGTAACGGACTATAACCGTTATCGTTACGCTACACGCCGAAAATCGCCACTTTTTTTTCATTTTATGAGTTGAACTCGTAATCGTCGATTAGAAATATCTGGAAACGGCCGCTTGTATACACACGGCGAAATACGAAGCCGATACATCGTGCAAAATGATTTTTGATAACGCGTAGACGATGAGAAACGGTTTTCAGGATTACACCCGTTATTTCTTTCCTTTTCGCGACCACTTGTGTTCTTCTCGAATTAAATATCAGATATACGACGTCGAGACCTCTATTAAAAATATTTTCAAGACAACCGAACTTGACATTATGATTATGCTTAATTTCACGGTCCGCGTTAAATTCCGGAATCCGTAAATCCTCGGCTTATTAGATCCTCGGATTTTCGAAAGCTCATATATTTAAGAACACGGGAATCTAAATATCCGCGAACTTCTTCGGTAAACCTCGTGCCTCCGAAACGACTGCCGCCGCCGCCGTTGAAACAAATTGCGAAATAATTTCGCTGCCGAAGTTCAGCGGAGGGTCCATTTGCCGCAGCGGGGCCGCGCATTTCGATTCGAGCAAACGAAGGCACAGCTTGGCCATTCTTTCTCATTTCGTCGTGGCGGCAGCGGAGTCAGCGTTCCTTAAGACGGCCGGCAAGAATCCCGGCAGCGTCGTCGTCGCTGATTGCGCAGTCTAATTATAATTTCCGGAGGACTCGGGCAATTAGCATCCAGCAGCTGCAACGAGCAACTGCGCACGCCGCTGCGCATCTTATTATATCGTCTTTTGTGCGCGAACGAGACTCAAAGCTGCCGGACGCGGCATTCGAGCGACGCGAGATGCAACGCCGAACAGAGAACGATATCCGCTTCAAGGACAAGGACGAATCGCGTTCTCTCCTACGCTTCGAGGCCTCCTCACTCGGAGCGGCCGATAATTATTACAGAGCGGTAAGTCAAAGGCGCGGGGACAAACAAGTCGAGGAAATATGCTCCATTAGGCGTAATTATGCCGACGAAAAGTACGCAGCCACCACGCCTATCAAAAAAAAAAAAAAAAAACGCTGCGAACGAGTCATGCAGGTGGTACTAACGTCCACAAGTGTCGTTATTCTGACGGCTCATATTACGTGACTAATATATGTCGTCATAATTAATTGCTAATTCTAATTGAAGTTTGCCGTAGTGTAAAAACGTATAATACAAGAAAACATACATCAGAAAAAAATGTGTGTAAGAGAAAAATATCTCTATACACAGAAATACAAGAGAAAAATAAGAAACATATATCACACATACACATAAAATACCAGAGAACATATAACACAATATAAAATTGTTCAGAATAATTTTCAAGTTTCAAAACAATAAACAATTACATAATATTATTTTATATGACAAATGGATATTAAAATCATTATATGCAATGAAGCTGGAAATTTTATTCGAAGTTTCGCTTCTACAATGCTTCAAGATTCGTATTTCCTTTATTTAAGACCTCTTTGAGTCATCATATTCGAATAACGAAATTTAAAGTTAATATACGAGCATCTAATTATTTAGATTTTCGAAATCTCGAAAGTATGGTTTGTATTGTAAAATAAAGTTGATGATTTCTTGTTTGTTAATTGTATTTCTTAATATGCTTTTTTAACTCGACTAATGTAAACCTTAAAATTGAAACAAATATATTTAAATTTTGTTAATTGCACAGAATATTGTTATATTATTCAAAATTAGTTCTATTAAGAACTTTGATATTTCAAATCTTTATATACTATAGTTCGAAGATTCAAAGTTTCAAAATCGAATTATTCAAACTTTAATCTCAAACGTTGAATTACCGAAACTTCGAATGTATCAAGTAATATTGCCTCTAATATGCAATATTATTCATTTTATTCTATACTTTTTATAGATTCTTGTACCCTTGAATCTTAAGTTTCAATTCCAAGTTTTTGGGATTATATCTTCCAATTCCCTAGCTTTTAGACTTGCGAATGCTGCATTCTTTTTTAGTGCATTTGAATGAATTTTTAATATTTAAAACTTTACGTCTTCGTATTCTAATATTTTTATTCTCCAACATTTGTATCCGCGTATAAATTAATGAATTCGAAACTTTCTGACTAACAGAAGATCTCTAAAACCGCGTATCTTGCTCTAAAGTCTAATTATGTCGCGTATACCAACTGGGCTACCGTGAGAGGCTCTTCGCGTACAAGGACGAAGCATTTACACCGGCGAAACTCGGTACCGAGTCTCCTATAGAAGGAGACAATGCGCGTCCGCACGCGTATTTGTCCGCACTCCGGGTGAGCATCGATCTCGCAAAGGGCTCCATTAGCGGCCCATTAAGTTCACCGACCGCCGCTTACTCCCACGGAGGGTTACGTCATCGCCCTTAAGCGAACGAACGCGAGCCAGCCGCCGATGATTCGCTCCCGCAAACGTTTTAACGCCTCTAATCGAGCGTCGAGATCGCACGTGAAAATCAACTCGCAAAACTGCGGCCAACGGAAGGCGCCCCATGAAACATTCATAACTTCCGGCAAACGCAGTGGTTGCCACCCTGCGGCAAGGCGTATGAGTGAGCGAGCGAACACGCGTGTGGTTGATGTCGACGAACGTGTACCGGAGGCTGTCATCGGTCCCGGACTAACATCAATTTCAATCTAGGGTCGCTTCACTCGAGTCCCGCGCAATGAAATCGAATGTGCCGGTTTTACGAGATCATTCGTTCGGACATGCCGATCGCGGCGAACCATGTCCGAAAGTATGTCGACGTAATGCGCCGGTATGTATCGTACATGTAGTTGCGTGTGTTCCGTCGTGGATACGTCTGGCACTCGAGAATATAACAGAATACCGACAAATGTACACCTAAAAACAATCTAAGAAACAATATTTATTCGGTGGGTAATACATAGAGTAAACGAACCTATTTCGAAACAGCACTTATTTCGAAACACTTTAATTTTTTCCTGTATTAGCTAAAATAATTTATAAATAATATCAAATTTTTATGTTAGTAACAAAGAACATGTTTTTTGTTAAAATATTCTTCAAATAAGGAAACACATTTTCTTAAAATATCAAAATTGTTTATTCTATTTATATATAAAAACTATACATATAATTATATATGTATATATGTAATTATATATGTATTATTTCATACATGTAAACTATATATATAATTTTATATATGTAAAATTATATATAAAAAATTTGTACTTAAGTAAATACGATTTATTAAGGCATCCACCGCAGGTTTTTTTATTTTTTAGATATTAAGAAAATAAAACTCGAGAAACGAGAGTCGGAGAATACTCGATATCAGTTATCCCATCGAATAAGAATGAGGTAACTGAAGTGCAATTTCTATTCTAAATCTAAATGTAATTTGACTATTTCGCAATCGATGATACTTCCGAGAAAACTGGTTAATTAATTTCGTAATTAAATATTCAGCATGCGCGATTAACAGCAAAATTCAATAAACACCGTCCTTCCATTTCCCTACGATTGATTCCTGACTGCCAGTAGTACAGTCGGCCTAAAGCCCTCCTGCAGCAGCAATAAAGCGCCCTTTCGCTCGCCCTTCCTCTCTCCCTCGCCCTCCCTTTCTCGGTAACCGAATGAAGGGTCGATTAATTCCAAGCGATTCACTACCTCCTAAGCACGCATGCCCTTGACAGTTACCGCAGCGATAAAATCACATTTCGCCTTCTTGGGAATCTGATGAGGAGGCGATTACTCCAAGGCGATCTACTGACCCTAACCCGAATACATTTCCCTTCGCGCGTCCCGCGATAATAAAATTACGTTCCGCCTTCGTCTCGCGAAGGTTGGGAAACCCAATGTAGCGGCGATTACTTCCAAACGATCCGTTCGCTCAACCGCGATGAATCGACAGGATATCCCAAACCCCCAGAATATTGGGATGAGAGAAAGCAAGAGAGAGAGAGAGAGAGAGAGAGAGAGAGAGAGAGAGAGAG